CCATCACTGCACATGCATTAACATTCATTCATGCATCTACTTTTCCCCTTATTATTCCGTAAAATATATAATTTAAGGAGACGTGGGATAATTAATGATTCATTTATTTGTAACAAGAAATTATTATAATTAATAATACATTATTTTATTTTATTCTTAAATATATTTAAAATAAATTAAATATGCAGATTCATGGGTGGAAAGTCCAATTTAAATCTTTATCGACCTGCATTAAAAATTATTAAGAGATGATAAATTGGACTATATATTATATACATTAATATCTTTTAAATATTCGTTATTATTTAAAAAATTAAATTTTATACTTAACGTTTTGATATCATAAAGTAAAAACTTAACGTATGCTTTTTTATAAAATTATGCATGCGTATTTTATCATAAAATATAATTATATAATAAATTTCTTGCATGCCCACTTATCAAGCTTCATATATATACTATACTATAATATATGTGATACATATATATATTTTTTCATATTAAATTTTTAATGCAAATCATTTTAGCCTTACTCAGCTGTATTATATTAGTATTTATTAATTTTTACCTAAATTTAAAGAAGAAAACATGTTTTTTATTTAGAACAAAAAAAAAACTTAAATAGTAACTAAGACTAACCATACAATTAAAATTCTTCAAAGACTTGGAAAAAGATAAACTTATAGGAAAGCCTCCTTCCCCTTTATAATAAAATAACATTGAGAAAAAGTATTGAGTCTGGTTGGACAAAATCTAAAAGATATTTCACAACAAGATTTGACACTAATTCAAATCCAATTGTAAAAAAATTTCCAAATTAAATTTATATCAACACATCAAGGAAGAAAACAACTTGGGAATTTTCTTCTCATAATTTGAATGTGGAAATTTCCTTCTTACTCTCTCTCTCTATATATATATATATATGTGTGTGTGTGTGTGTGTGTGTTCAAGATTTTCCCATTGACTTTCTCTTGTAATATCTTGATTTTTGTCCCAAATACAACGCTACAAAACTTGTAACTTCCTTGAATTTATATTTAACCAAAAGGGTCAAGGGATACATAGTGTAATAATATCACATTATCTTTTTTAAAAATCAAAATCTTTGGTAGACTTTTGGAAATATTATCGTAAAAATTAATTTAGTATTTAGAACATGAGTAAAGAAAAATAGAATGATTGGATTTTGAAGATCCATTGATTTGTTGTTTATTCATTTTGGTTAGGAGACAAAGTGTGAACCTATAAACACGTATGAAGAAGAAGAAGAAAAACAAGGCACATGCACAGCATAAATAGTAAAGCGAAAAGCACTTTTTTTTTTTTTTTTTTGGTTGAGTGGGACCAAACACGGCCTTACAAATTAAAATCTTCCAATTACTTTCCTGTTCTGTTTTCACGCTTGATTGGACATAACCGTGTAAAATGTATGATTCAAAGGTGGCCAACGTTGTTCCCCCCCCCCCCCTATTATCATCATCATCTTCATTATTATTATTTATTTATTTTTCCTTTTACTTTTCTTTTACAAAAAAAAATATTGTCGGAATGGCCCAAGTTAATTTTCTCACCATTTTCCTAAATTAAAATAAAAAATTTAATGTATTTTTTGCGTTTTTTATAAAAGGATACGTATTATTTTTTTTAATAATATGAGAATTTTTTAAGTTTATTTACAAATTGTGGGTCGCGGTGTATAATTATTTCCAACCAACTTATGTATATTTTAAAAATAAATAAAAAGAAAATCGTAGTCAATAATCGGAATTTTCAAAAAAAATAAATAAATAAAGAACGTTGAAACTGAGGTCTAACTGTCAAGTCAATCCTCCACCGTTGTTCGTTAATTAGTCAATACTCATAACCCACGCCTTTTAAGTAAACGCCAATTATTATATATTTACTCATATAATTAAATATTTAAAAATTAAAGCAAGCGGTGCATCATGCAACACCGTTGATTTTGCTTAAAAAATAATCTTGATTTTTAGTTGTGAGAAAATGATTCCCCGACACACTTTAAGTTAATTGTACAACCTGTCACACACAATCGACACTTGCAAGATTGTAAAAGGCTTCTGGTGTGGGGCCGTGCCAGGAACATGACGGCTGATCCCATGCTTCTCACCTCTGCTAACAACCGTGGACTCGAGTCTTCTTTTGCCCCCTCTATGGGCCTAAAGTTGTCCCATTGACCCACAGCAATAATTAAAAATAAAATAAAACACTTTTCCTTTTTTTGGGTGGTAAGATCACTTTAGTTAAAGTTTCTTATTTTTTCTAAAATAATATATACTTTGGTTACAATAATCATATATCATATATATATATATATCTATCTTATAATAAAAACAATAACTTGGGTAAGATTAATTCATCTAGTTTCTTTTAAAATATTTTCTGAAATTTCGAACCATAGTTTAGTATTTTCCTTCTCATTTTTGTAATTTAAAATTTTAAAGTTCTTTCTCCAAAACAAAAAAAAAAAAAAAAAAAAAGGAAAAGGTATTTTGACCTATCATTTAAATAAAACTGAAATAAAAATTTATTTATTTTTTTAACGAACATTATAATAATTATAGTTATTAAAAGCATCCATGCCTTTATGAAAATAGTGAAAGGAAACGATGGGAAAAATAAAAAAAGTACGAAGCTAAAACTAATATTCTAAATTCTAGATAATTATGAAACAATATAAATTACCATTTATATCATAATATATATATATATATATATGCGAGTATGTTTTTATTTACTTAAAACATATATAACTAAATAATACGGCTATACCATTTGTTTCTATCTTAAACGACTGAAAAAATTAATTACAATTTTATAATTTTATATGGTATAGAGCTCAAAATCATGGTCTCAAGTTCTCTCTCTCTCTCTCTCTCTATAAATCTATGAAGTGTTTTAATTATATGTATCTACATTTAATCCCAATTAACTTTTTCTTTAGTCCCAATTGAACTTGAAACTTGCTACTCCAAAACTATAACATATATGTATAGACATACATATATACCTTGAATTTTTTAAAATAAAAAAAAATATGAAGAAAAAACATAACCAACCCGATTAATTATAATAAAATGTGAGTCGAGGTACATGGACAGATATATGGGCATAGTGGAATAATATTGATATGCTGCATGGATGTTGATGATAGGGATTTGGTGCACAACTCTAGGTTCATTATATTCCATAATGTTGGACAACCCTAAATCCCTGCAATCTTTAGATTCTAACAGACTTTGTCTACTCCACAGGAACCTTCCATGTTCTCCTCTCTAATTTCATCATCTCCATTTGACCCTACCTAATATATCCATATGTATGTATACCACTTAATTCCATTTCTTACAGCTATATTTACTTCCCACTCATCTTAATCTAATTAATTTCTTGCAAATCACCCATTTATCGATTGGTCATGATTTGAACTATTATAATCTTAATTGTGAAATTACTTGGAAACAAATAGAACATTTAGATGGTTTCTTAATACTTATAACTTATAGTTGAAGATTTCATTTACCAATGTGATATATAAATTAATAACTTTGACGCGATAATTCTAAAACTATATTTTTTTTTGTTAATTATGAGAATCGAATCTAAATTAATAAAAATTTGTGGGTCAAAACGAATTTTATTTGAAGTACTTATGATTATTAAGCATTCAAATTTTAATATTTTATTTTATTGATTAAATAAATTACTTGTCTATATATGTTACACACACACATATAGATATATAGATATATATATATATATAAATGCATGCAACATGCATGTCGAAATACACATGATCAACAACATTTAAGTCATGTCACTTTCTCCCTTTTCTTTTTAACTTTCAAACATGTTTGCCATTATATATGGCATTTTACCAAAAGATGAAGAATATAAAGGTAGGGTAAGGTTTGTAAGCATGTTTCTTTTTTTTTTTTTTTTT